AGCCGGTCAACTGCTGCGAAAGCAGGAAGGTTATAGCAATGCTTTTCCTTCACAGATTTTCAAAACAAAGCACTCTTTGCCATGCAATAAATGGAACATAAGCCACAGCTCCTCAGATTAAAACTAATATTAGAAAACACATTTGAATTAATAAAAGAAATCAATCTCAGCGAGGCTGTGTCTTATTACAAAAGGCACAAACAACAAAGGGAGATAGTAATAAAAATGGTCAGCTGTACATTATGTCCATAATGCTAATGTTGTCATAATTATGGCACGTGGAATACTAAAATATATCTGAAATTAGTTGTATAACAATGCTATTACATTGTATTGTAATATATGATTTTATTAATTTATTATTTTAAAAGAAACGTTATTGTTGATAATTGATGTTATGGGACAACTATAATGTCAAGGACGAGCCTTTTCGTACATACTTGCGTTTTTAAAACACGGGATTTAATTGGTTCTGGGTGAAAAGTGCTGTTTTTAAGAACTATCAAATGAATGCCATATACGGATACCACCACGTGCTTTTATTTTAAGGTTGTGAGTTTTATCTTCCGGTATCTGCTATCTCACCCTGAGGTGTCTCGTGTTTTCTTTTACTCACCATCTCTATGATCCTAGTCTTTTTCCCCGCACGCTTCTTTTTGGCCACGATATACTGTGCCAGAACAACACCGCCAAAGAGAGCGCAGACGCTGGCGCTGGCCGCGGCCCCGACCTTTACCACGGCTGTCCTGTCCATGACAGTCCGCTACTCCTCTCTACCGAACCAGCCCGCCGTTCAGCCCCGGTCTCTGTCCGTCAGCCGGCGGCTTCCTTCCTACTGGTGCAACCTGTAAAACAAAGATCGTCTATGCGCTGTAGCGTGACTCACTGGGCACATGTTAAAAACTGGGCATGATAATGGGGATCTGTACATCCTGTATACAGTAAATACTGTGAAAACCATAACGGAAATACGTCACGACAACGTAATGGCTTTAAAGACATAAAGCAAATGGCTTTAGTTACGAACAACAGCAGGCTAAACAGTCTTTGTGTACAGATTTTATGCACTATCGTGTTGCTATCGGCGCACATGGTCCAAATATAAATGGCTAGTTGAGTAAATAACGTAAATAGTAAAAAACAAAACAAAAAAAAACAGTTAAATTACAGAAAGCAATTGTGCACTGAATTTATAGTATGAAGTATATGTATACGTAACAGAAAGAAATCACAGCACCATTGATCTTTAACCGAGATAACACTACCTACTGGTGTGTGTGGACCAGACAGGCAGGTCTTTGACAAATTAATTTACAAGTCAAAATCACATAAATGTAGGCTGTTGGTTATTGACAACATTATACAATACATTATTTACACATTTATTTTACACAATTCCAAGCAAAAGCTGTATGGCATTTGCCATAAAAGTGGATCAGAGGACTCCAACAACCAAAAGATAAGGTGTGTACCTACAGTACATAATAATAATACATTTTATTTTATAGGCACCTGTGTGTGTATGTATGTGCATGTATTAATAAAACAATCTCCCTGAGCTTCTTAAAGATTTAAAAGATAACACGTTTGTAGAATACCAATAGTATTTCTTAATATAAAACATACTGAATGTGCAGGGTGTCTTTTGTAGTGTTCTAAAAATTAATATTATCAGTCAATAACTATCTGCTTACTATTCACAGTTAATAATGTACATGAGGGAGACATTTTGTTAATAACAGTGGTGCAGTAGCACTGTTCTCTTTGTATAATCCAATGTTATGGTGATAGTGTAATAAATCCTAATTGACCAAAAGGTGAAAGCATGTGGCAAAACATCAAACTTTATGCAATGATGGGGGCAAACTGAAATATTTTGGTGTTTGTAAGACTCTACATTAAAGTCTCTGTGTTGAGTAGGTGATGCAGAAAAGAAAACACACAATATCCCAAAAACCAATACAAATGTTATGACAAATGGCTGGTTTGCGAGGATGGTTCTACATTTCCAGAACAGACATCAATGCCAGTTCAATTCATCCGCTTATCCGGGTCTCAAGGGCAGCAGTCACCGTGACCACCACCCAAATCACATTGCACCGTACCCACCCCCCTGAACCTTACTGCGGGTGGTGAGTCCACTGGAAGGTACCAACCGCCCTAACTGGGATTCAATCTTACCCAGGAGGTGAACCCTGGGATTTCACACCAATGACAGAGACATTGCCTCTGGGCCAAAACACCACTCAACTACTACTATATGTTTTTAAATCTGTACTGTAACTCGTCGTCAAGTCCTGCGCTGAAGAGAACTCATTTGACCTTGAAACTTCCATGACCTTTCTTTGGTCATTAGCTAGAGCTTTCAAGCATATTCATGCTGCGCTGAAAATGACTGAGCCACCGTGTGATCAGTGTCCATGTCATCGTCATGTCCATTTGGAGGAAGTGCCAAAATTGAAGCATGTAATATATATCTTTGTGACGTCCCTACACACAGCTAGGAGGAACCTGAAGATGCTCTTCTTCCTTTTAGCAAGTTTTCTCTTTAAAGCCTTGATGAATTTATCATCAGCTTTCTCTAGTTCCCTCAGAAGCACCTCTGCTGAGTGGAAAGTCCTGAACAGATCAGTGATTACAGCTTTAATGTCAACATCTTTGTTTAAATTCACAGAAATGTCTTTGAGTTCAGTCAATGTCAGTATCTTGCGCGACACATTGTGGACGATCCTATTAAAATCAGCCTGAGGCATTGACACCTGAGCCTTCTCTGTGGTTTGCATAAGAAGCCCAGTAACTAGACAGACCACCTTCTTGTAATATTTGATGTAATCATCGCACACTGCAGCCGACCCAGAATAACATGAAAATCTTTGTCCGAGGAGCTGCTTTTTAAAAACTCCCTCTGGTCCAATTGTATTGGTTTGACTCATTAGCTGCATGTGTCCAATGTTGCCCATGTCCTTCGGTATATGCTCAGCAGAAGAGTACATTCGATGAGCACTATAAGTTGCGTTCTCTAAATGTTCTAAGTTTCCAGCACTAGAGGATGCAGGTGGCTCACTTTGAGCCCTGTATTCTGCTTCTTCAGCAGCGTAGGATGCAGGTGGATGACTATAAACACCCTCGTCTTCTTCGTCTCTTCCATCCTCAGCACCAGAGAAAGCATGAGGCTCATTGTATGCATTGAATTCTCCATCTTCTCCTACATTCTCAACAACAGAGGAGGCCAGTGATTCACTGTATGCACTGTTCTCATCATAAGAAGACAGGTGTGCAGCATCCTCCGTGTGCTCTTCAGAGTCCTCAAAAAGGTTTAGACCATCACCCATGAGCAAGTTCACCTGCCTGCCACCTTCATCTTCCCTGTTGCTCAATTTTTCCGACGTGGGGTGTGTTTGAATACGTGCAACCTCCGACATAATCACCATTAGCGATGATGTTGAAGTCGAGTAAATCACAATACTCTTGCCCTTGCGTATTGTACGATTGTGATTTTTTTTCACTTTGATTGTTCGGAGGGCGGCAGTGCTGCTCTCCTCCACTTTTTTAGTTTGTAGTGCACGTGTGCAGTGACACTTGTGCAGCAACATGCATCGCATTGCTTTACGAAGTGGCCCAATCATCTCGTGGAGAGTTTCATAAGTGATGCAGCTGCACTCGTACGACCTGCATCTCAAATGCCTGGTGTTTGATTTCATTTTTTTTGCAACCGAGTAGTTGACTCTTGCCGTTACTTCTTTAGCAACCAGCAGCTCATATTCCATAAGGGCACGACATGGAATAAGTGGAGAGGATCCAAAGAAGCGAGCAAAAAACCATGGGATGGCGTTCATGTTATACCACACATACGTTTCATCAACACCAAAAAAACACTGGTTGCCATCTACAACTGAGAGGATCCGAGGCAGCTTGGTATGCCACTCTGTCAGGACTGGATCTACATGCTCCATGATGTGCTCAACATACCTGTACACAATATGTTCACATAAAACGACCAGTGTGGCCAAGTTGCCCTTTAGTCCATGAGAGGCTATTTCACTCAAATGCTGTCGAATTAAAGGACAGATGCAAGGCTTACAGAGTTTTGGAGGACAGATTAGTGGGAACAACACCTGACAGATTAACACCAGTTCAGATGCATCCATGTCGAGGTCTGCAGTGACTTTCTGTCAAGTTTTTAACTGTTTTGGTTCCTTCTTTACTGGCGATACATTGCCACAGCCATCCATTTTTAGTATTAATAACGACTGAGATTTTGAATTCTGTATGTATTATGATTGTGCTGGTGAACTTAGCTTACATCAAAGGCTTTTCAAGGAAATGTCACGATGACATAATCTTAACATAAATGCTTTCACAGCGTAGTCAGTGTTCTATTGCAAGTGCAGGCACAGCCAACCTGCTGCTCAGGAGCCACATGCGGCTCTTACGTTCATGTCAATTTTTTTTACGCTATGCTATGTGAATCATATGCCAATGGGCATTGATGCAAATTACTTAGGGAAAACCCAATTTGCACAGATGAGAAGTATACAGGAAGCTTTGAGAGTGGAAGAGTTAATAAGGGATTATTAAGGAGCAGATCATGTGGCGGTAACACAGCAAAAATTGTGGCTCTTAGCCTCTTGACTGGTTGCCCACTCCTGTGCTAGTGCCTCTAGTAATCAGTTGGTTCAACATAACTCAAATTACCTGTGCACTAGGTCAAGAGGATGCATCTTCACAAGGTTGCGAAATGGTTTGGATATGAGGTGGTCAAAAATATAATTGGGCAGATTATAATGTACAGATTTGCTTATAGTAATAATATATTATCAATATATATATATATATATTTTAACAAAGAGAAATTACCTGTGAATGTAACACGTTTATGTAAATGCACTAAAGGATTAATAAAAAAAATAACTTGTACACTGGTATAGTCCTAGCTAAGAGGGTCTTTAAGTTATTCGTGTATTAAGCCAGAAACCAATTGATTCATCCAAAAAGGTGTGAATTGTCAAACAGGGTTTTATGACAGGTATATAGATAAGCTGTTTGAATAGAACAATTTAATATACAGACATAAAAGGAAGGTAAACAGCATCACTGTGCCGTGTGAGACACACTTTTCAGTCATTTCTTCGACCAAAGATCAAGGCAGCCTTTGTAGGCTAAATGAGACCACTACAAGGATTACATGGGAGCAAGTGCTGTATGTGTATTGGTGTTCCTAGAAACCGCTGTGACTTTCATATAAACTAATATAACAAAGCATGTCTAATTTTGTACTATTATGTACTGTTGGAAAAATTACACATTATTTATATTATTCCAATAGTAAATCCAATGATCAGCACTTGACCACAAGAATGTTGATGTTTGTTGTCATTAAGCCATACTTACAATTCCAAAATTAATCAGGCAAAGATTCTGGCTGTTTGAACTGGTTTTATATTCATTCCAGCTATACCTCAACTCTTTATTTTGCACAAATTTTACTTTCAGCCAATTGGGAAATTAAGCTTTTTAAAACTAAATTAGTGCCATTAGGTTATTAGGATAATGATGAATAGTTACTTCGTATACTTCAGTCCTGTTCTGTTCACTTTATAAAGTCGAGAGTGACAGATACTGTAACTATTGGTAAAGACACATTATTGATGTAGTTGTGTCTCAACACACCTGTGTTAGAGGTGGGGTCCTGCTCTGTCCATTAATACATGAATAATGCTCCATATTGTTTAACTTTACGATGAATATAATTAAATTTGATACTGTTAAATTAAGACCCATTTACATACTTAACAATTGCAACCCATCATTTGCTGTAAAATACAAGATGGAGCACTGATAAACAATTGTGTATTTTTCATTTCTTGTTTTCCTGTTTTTCCTTTTGTAATTTAAAACTGCTAAAATTTAAATAGATTAATGTGCAAGGATATAGAAACAACCCTGCTCTCCCAAAAATGGGACGAAACATTACAGGCATTAAGGTTACAACGTTGAACGACTTATGATCGTTTGGTTCATTTTGTCCCACCACACTGAAGTAGAAACACTGGTCCAATCTCTATCACTGGGAATAGTCACCCACACGGTCACATCTTTCTGACAAGTAAATAGTAATTTAAATTATTCCACTGGACGAATGCCTTTGGCCTCTTCTATCTTCCTCAGGTTCTCATCCCATTGGGTGAACTGCTTGGACAACAGGAACATCTGCCAAATCAGATATTATTGATCAATAACTGACAAACATTATTCATTACAGCACATATGTATACAGTAATTACTTTGCCGTTACCAAATACTTTACATTTGGTAATGTTGACCTGAGACACAAATGGACTGAAAAGAGTTATAATTGTGTATTCTTCTCTAATGTAAAGTATATGGTAAAAAGAAAAACTTACCATTTTGTTGTATTCCTCAAAAAGCTTCTTCACTTCCTGGGACAGAATTTCTGTTTGGTCCTATGAAATAACACACATTCAACATCAGGTTAGGAAAAAACAAAAGGAAGAAAAAAGAAAAGATGGTGACAGATAGACACAGTACAATAAAATTACCTGTTCTTTAATGTGAAGCTGTGATAGACGTTGCAACTTCGTGGCATGTTCTTGAACATCTGTGATCACCATGAAACATAGCATGGCATGTGTCAGTTTGAACTAACTATACACTGTCGATAAAGCTCTTTCTCAAAATCGCCATCAATAACTAACAAGGATCATCATTCAGCTGAACTACATTTTATCTTCCAGGTTTGTTTTTAGTACTGATGTCTCAAAATCATAAAGCTTCATTTTTGGTGTTCTGTCAAAACTTCTCACCTCTAATGTGGGTGCTGTCCAAGAGTGGCTGTAGGTTGCTGACCTGTTCCAACAAAGCAGCCTGGGAATACAGAAAATCCTCCTCTGTATACAACAAAGACAAATAAACAACATTCTGGTTTTTACAACACAATTAATTGGTGATGTTGACATTGTAATAAATAAGCTTTAAGCTCTTATAGTTGGTTATAAAAAAATGTGCTCACCAGCAAGAATGAATTCCAGCTTCATGGCATCAGGAATAGCAATGTGGTCTGTGAACTGGGGATCTAGGTACTTCACGAGGTCTTCAACTGCACAAAATGAACATGAATCCATAAACAAAACACATTTTAGAAAAAAAGGTTATTTAGGCATTCTAAGGTGGTTGCTGTAGTATTTAATAGTATTTAAAGAAAAAGAAACAAAGTTCGACTCACTCTTCTTGTGCAGTATCTTCACTCGTTCTCTTTTGTTAGCCATGTTAGTCAAACCTGCCTGGATTCGTGACAAAGAATCTGCACACTGCAAGACAAAGACCAATGATATCACTTAGCTTTTGCATTCATAATCTAGCAGCAAAAACTTCCTTTTAGACACATTGTTGCAGTGTTAAAACCATGCAACTTACACTGAATCAATGCCCCATTTGTGAACTGTCTGTATTTATCATCACATGATTCTGTGACAGAGACAACACTATTCTTTTCTTTCTTGGGTGGAATTTTTTTGTGACGGAATAATGGATGTGTCCCCATTTTAAACAAGTATAATATTTACACATTTCAACTGTCGTTACACATCAGTATGGCTTGCTAGACATCTGATATGTAATAAGCAATGTGTTAGACAAATTCTAATTGGTTTAAATTGTGGTCTTCTTAATTTACTGTTATGTCATATTTTTTTCATGTCTGTTCACTTGATTGATTCTGAATACGGAGGCCAATAATGGAGTCGGGGCATCATTTATGCTAAGAGCTAATGTAACCTAGCTTTAAATAACTGTCGCGAACAAATATAAATTGTATAAAACAAAAACTGGTGAACTAATGTTCACAAAAAGGTGTTGGTTTCCCTTATCCTATGTCCATGTTGACGAACTATCGCTATGCTAATTGCTAGCTAGCTTTTTGAGAAGCCACCATTTTTGTTACGTTTATAATGATTTTGTTCAAACCTTGACGGGTTTTCCACTTTTTATTCTTCTTTCTCCGTATATTCGACGTTCTAGTGCCCGTAGGCGCGTCTCCATGTCATCTGTATCCAGTCGTTTCTCCATTTTTTATCCAAAACAAGACTTCAACGGACAATCTCCTGCTGTGCTCTGTTTTCCCCGTAGCCTCTGCGGAAGAAGGCTGGCTTATTTCATGATTGTGATTGGCTGGTTGGACCTCTTTCGGTTTGATTGGTTTAACGATGACATCATGGTAAACCAACCAGCAGCGACAAAGCACTCATACGTTAGCGCTCCATTAGTCAAAACACTTAATACAGTAATACTTGCACTTAAAATATTAATACAATTAGCTTATAAAAAATAATAGGTATTGAGTATTGGTATTAAGATATAATTAAAGACAAAAGAAACTATGCTAATATATTCCTAACAGCAAGAGCATATTTAAAACACTCTGAAATTACCGTACTTCGATTGTAACACATACGGGATTTAAAACGTTTACTGTTCTGCCGCCAGGGGGCGTTGTTTTACAACGAAAGAAAATTTGTCTGTTTTTCCGGTGACAGCAGGAGAATGACAGCACCGTCACTGGCGGCCCTTTGCATCCCAACTCACTGCTCAAGACCGACTGAAAGTAAGCTTTTCCCTTTCCTTTCACCGTCACTTCCTCTCACTCGAGACATAACTGTATGCGAACAACAGGAAAAATACATTAGACAGCTACACCTTGTATTGATTCACCCCTTTCTCTAGCATGTTTTTCTACTGAGCTAAGTTAGCTAACTTAGCCCTAGAGCTAACGTCAGTGTTTATTTTACAGCTACGTAATTTGACAGACGTGGAGTCAGTGTGGTGGTCCTGGAGGTATTTTTCTGCCTATTACAGGGCTGTTACGGAGTTATTACTTCGCTGTAATACACTGATACATAGATACTACAGAGACATTACAACACATGGACTGTTAATGTGTGCTAGCTTATGTTGTACGAATGTGTACTGTATGTTTATGTTGTAAAAAGTTTTATTAATACTGTGCTTCATGTTTTTATTGTTGTGATGCTGACAGCAGAAAGGCGCCTGTCTTTGGACGTCTGTGCAAGTGTCTAAAAAACTAACTCTTTATGTACCACCGGGAGACGAAGCAGCATGGCAGATGACAAGGATGTGCTAAGAGACGTTTGGTTCGGCCGGATCCCCACCTGCTTCACACTGAATCAGGATGAGGCCACTGAGAGAGAGGCGGAACCGTATTATGTGAGTGTAACTTGTTTCCGAATTCACATGACTACCACAACATCTGAGAGCGTATAATTTATTAATGATTCTGCCCATCAATATTGTATCGATGAAGGATGCACAGGGTGCCTCATGTCTAGCGGGGAATCCTGTGTTGTTCCAAATCACATATGTGCAATATCTTCTGTGGCCACTATCAAAGAAGAAAAACCTTTTTGCATGGTTGAGTCACAAAACTATATCTCTCATCCCAGAATAGTTACAAGAAAGTTAGACTTTTGTCATACACAATATATAACACTGTATAAAAGTTGACTGATTTACTAAAACATTTGCACAAAACATCAGATGGTCGGATTATGCAGTTTTTAATCAATTTAATGAAGCCTCCTTAGTTCCTGGTGTCGCGTTACATTCATGTCAATAAATCCTGTAAAATCTAACATGGTACAGCCACTTGACCAAATTCAATATTAAAAGTTTAGGAATGTTGAGATTCTTTTAAGAAGGTTTAAATTTGGATAACACATTGGCTGATTAAATTCTCTGTGGGCCAGCTTAAAGTCACACAACCTTTGAGGTAAAATGACACTGTTTAAGATTTGTATACAAATTTATGCCGAGATATTAAAAATATTTCCTGTTATTCATCAGGGTTAGAGATAACTTGTTACTTACTCTGTTTCTCTCTCTCTCTCTCTTTCTTTAATAGTTGTTGTTACCCAGGGTGAGCTACCTGACTCTGGTTACAGACAAAGTGAAAAAACACTTCCTCAAAGTGATGAAGGCTGAGGACGTTGGGGAGATGTGGTTTGAGTATGAAGGAACACCGCTTAAATGGTAAGAAAACAGCTTATGTGTCTTCAAGTCATTCACGGTAGATTGGCTGAATTTCTCTGGGTGACGGCACGAACAATTCAGCCACAAGGTGTCAGCATTTCTTCACCTTTGGAAATCGTTCAGTTTTTTCGGATAATTTGATTCACCATCAAAAATCTTTGGTCTACATGTCTAGATACTTTTACAACTATATGTTAATTTGATAACAGCATTAGTATTAAAAGATGGCGCCCCTTGAAAGTTAACAAAAGTTGTCAGTGGGTTTTTGAATGAGATACTATATATTATCATGTCAAATTTTAACAAACTTAAGACAACAAATGTCTATCCCCTTGTTAAAGCACATTCTCAACTAATGTTGAAGTGCATTTCAAAAGCAAATGTACTAATAGAATGGATTTTTTATAATAGCTGTAAGAATGGCAACAATAATCATGTTCCCAGAGTCTAATACAGCATATAAAAAAAAGGAAAGGAGTAAATTTAATGATTATAAAAGGTTAAGATAAGATCAGTCTGTTTCACTGTGTGGCCTCACTATGACAAGATGTTATAAAGAACACAATTTTCTTAAAGGTATCAAAATAAATTGCATTTGTTCATCATTTTTTTACCAATAAAAGTTATAGCAGCGATCCTCTTAAAGAGCTGACATTGGCAATATAATATAATATAATGTGAAATATTATAATATAATATGATAATTCTTTTTCATCAGGCTTGACCCAGTTCCCCAGAACTTTTTTAATCTGAGTCTTGTTGTCACTTTCTGAGTTATGGATGCTGACAGATAGCCAACCAGACAGGCTGTCGGCCAGACAGACAATCACGGACAAATGCAGCCAAAAACATAACCTACTTGCCAGATAAAAATAAGATTGACACTTTTAATTCAGAGGCCGTAAACTAATGTCAGGTAATGAATCATTTAATGATGACAATGATGTCTAACAGGATTTTACTCTTTGTTGTTATTATTATTATTTCCTCTTGGTGCCACTTAATCGCAGGCACAATCCAATCGGGGTTCTCTTCGACCTCCACGCCTTCAACACCGTCTTACCCTGGAGCATCACTGTGCACTTTAAAGTAAGTTATTGTGTGTGTGCTCTCAACATACAAGATAATATATATTTATTACACCTGATTAACACATACTTTAAAAACTGAAATCCAGCCACGTCTTCGTTCTAATGTACTACTTGTGGAAGGTCAGCTTCCTCGTGAGGAGAAATCTTTAAAACAGTGACCAACTATTATTAACACCTGGAAATGCTGAGGACATGAAAGTTGTTTGCTGCCTCTTTAATTTTTCCATTATCAGAGTCAGACAACAGACATGTGGTACAAGTTGGTCTCAGTAGAGGCGAAAACTTTGTACTGAGAGTTGAAGTTGTTGGAGGGCACAGTGGTTGTTTAGTCTCTGTACTTAAATTAAACTCAGCAGCTGCAGGAAAGAACTGAATGAGATGAAACACTGAAGACAAGAAGAAATTAAATGAAAGAAATTCTACAAGATATAAAGCAGTCAAATCAACTTTTATACTAAAAGAAAACACAGTGAAGAAAGTGACTGCCACATCTGCAGAAATTACAGGATACCATTCATCTGCTTCTTCAAAATATTAGAAATGTTCTTCTGAATGTGTGACAGAATTTCCCTGATCGGGACCTGCTCCACTGCCTGTCCAACACTGTGGTCGAGGCCCACTTCATGTCCAGCATCAAGGAGGCCGATGCCCTCAAGCACAAGAGTCAAGTCATTAACGACATGCAGAAGAAAGATCACAAACAGCTGTGGATGGGGTTACAGAACGGTGAGACACACACACACACACACACACACACACACACTCATACTCATCTCACACACACAGATGAGATAGATTCCAAAGATCGTGTAAAATTTTTGTAAAGGTGTAAAATTTCTCAGATCGCTGATCACTCCAGGAACAGCTGATCACAACAGGCAGCAATAAACACTTTTACCCACCAGCTGCTCCTCCAGGGTTTTCACCTTGACTTAATCTTTGACTGCCATTTCTTCTAAGTCAGTGAGCATTTACTTTCGTCCTTAGTGCTGAGGTCTGTGCTAATTTGGAGAATTGGTTTCCGAAGAGCAAATAGCATGTTTTTAGAAGATCTGTGTGAAAGTGAGAGGGAGGCTGTGAAACCAGTCCTTCAACCAGAATATCTTGGTGTGAGCTTCACTGTAAAAAGGAAAGCACCAGATCTGGTTTTACATACAGCTGCTCAGCTTTGTGTGTGACCTCTAGGGAGGTCACACACAAAGCTGAGCACACACAAAGTTGACATGCTTTCAAATGAGCATGTTTGTAGTTGCGTGTATATGCCTCAGATGTGTGTATTTGTGGTTTTCATCTTGTTTTAGGAAAGCCTAAATATTGGTTGAGAGGACTTACCTGTGTGTGATTCTTGTGTTGACACAGATAAGTTTGATCAGTTCTGGGCCATGAACAGGAAGTTGATGGAATATCCAACAGAGGAGGAAGGTTTTAGGTACATCCCCTTCAGGATATACCAGGTAACACAGAACTCAAGGCGGTATCATGCCTCACAGCACACATTTAATTATTATTTTACACTATGAAGTAGTAGTAGTATAAAACCCCAAAACATAAAACTATATATTATTTTGCCATTCAATTTTTTTCATTTCAATTACTGCACCACCAAGTGGTCTATATTAAAAAACACATTTTTCTTAAAGTGCAAGTGCAAAGACCTAAAGTTGTTTCAGAACCCAAATATTATAATGTCATTTCTATGAATTTATAAATTTTAGTACATATTTATTGTATTTACTAACTAATTTACTAACTATTGTGGTGAAGTGTACGCAGTGAGTGCAGTGGTAGTGAAACATGCATAAATGGACCTTATATTAAATTATATTAACTTTACAGTGAACTGACAAGGAGAAGCTTTCGTGAGTGTCTTCTGTTTAACAATTGTGTCTTCTGACTGGGACAATATTGCAGTGCAGGAAATAAAAGCTAACCTGCCTTTTATAGGTGCTTGATAATATTCTTAACTCTTAAGATTGTGCTCTGGATTTTTTGGTGTCACTTAACAACCAGTAGATGGCGCCCGAAAACTAGGTGAAACACCCTTTGTATAATTGTGACATCCCTTTGGCGGTGAAATGAGACACTGTGCCCGTTCAGTATAACAATAAACATACGTAAAGCCGCTGGAAGTTTGATAAAAACAGGTGCTTTTTCGGGTTGACTTCAGGTTCGTTTTTCTTCCCGGCTGCGGCTCACTTAATTGAACAGCATTTCCTCCCCTGTCAGCTTTTCATAACATAGTCGTCACTCAAATAAGTAACAACACACCTTTGTTTTACCTCCACAACAACGATACAAGGTATTTGTGCTTTAAACCATGTGAGGAAGTGTTTGACAGCTAGTCTTCTTTGTGAATACATTTATTTTTGTGGACACATCATAGTTTTAACAGCTTCCTAAAATAATTTCTGGTGCCATAAAAATAAAATAAAATAATGTGAAAGTAACAGAATAAAAACTGTTTTTGTTGCTGATGTGTTTGTTAGTTTACAGTTCCTCTGTAGATGATAAAGTTGAAGTGTGCATGCGTAGTTCGAAACGCTCTAGTTTACATGTACTGTGAGTCCACAATGGAATAAGTTGTAGGTGAACATGAGGGGTTTTCAGAGTAGGCTGACAAGTGTCCTCATGTCAGATGTTTGTGCCAAATTTCTACATCTTCACACTGACTCAGGTGAAAATCCCTTTTAGAAGGATAAAACAGAAATCGAGACGGTGAATAAGCGACTGATTCCCGCCTGGAAAACATTAGCAGGTCGCCTGAAGCCAGACAACAAGGAAAACTTCGCAACGCTTCAGAGCAAAAGTGCAGGAGGGCAGTAGTGATGGGGAGGGGGTGGCGGGAAGGGTTTTACACAAATTGGGAAAAGCTACAAAAAAGTGTGGACAGGATTAATCAGACAGCCCCCAGTCTAGTGACTGAAGGAATTAATTTAAGTTCAGTCCCTAATCGTTCCGGACACTGGAGAGTGGCATCTAGCCTTGTTAAAGAAATAAAGATTTAAAAAACATCTGGATCTTTGTGACAAAAAAAAACATGTTTATAGTCTGCTTTGAGTCTAGCGTTTGATTGTGCGTGCTAAGCCTTGATCTCAAATCACAACAACACAAAAGGCCCCTCACTGTCACCGAGTCCTGAGTTCAATTTGAAGGCTTGTCTCAACATGTACTATGGAGTAGTGTCAGAAAATGAAAGAGAAAATAGATTTTGGCCTGATATGACTGACAGGAGTGAATTTTCCTTTCTTACTGATTTCTTTGTAATCATGTTTCCTGGTAACTTCCCACCATCAATATTGATTTATTATTGAATGTATAAAGTTGTGAATGTGACCTCCTGGTCTCCACATATGGCTGCATTTTACATTTTGCACAACAACGAGGGCGGAGGAACCGCTGTCTGTCATGGCCTACAAAATTAGTGGAAAAAAAAAAAGAGAAACCTCATAAACGTTTTTGTTTTTACTTTCACATCTTTGGGGTGTAAATAAACCATTTTACACTTCTACAAAAACATTCTTGTGTTCAGTAATAAAACATAAGTCTTTAAAGTGGCTGGCTGAAACATGCAGGCCGACCAATGTGGCCCGCCCTCTCAGACATGCACTTGTTGCAGCTATAAAACCACGTAAGTGCCAGCGGGGAGAAGAAACCCAGGCCGTTTCAGTTTCAGGCTCTTTTTTCAAGGCTGCAACTACAAGTTTCCACGCTCATTTTTAAGCCGAGTTGGGTTTTCGTGACAGTCGAGGCATCAAAGTGTCTTCCTGCCCTCACTGTGTGATTTCCAAACACACTGGAGAAAATAATCATAATTCTTGAAAAAGTCTAAGATGGTTTTGGAGATGTTGTGGTTTGCATCTGACAAGCTGCTAAATATTTACAAGCAGAGAAGAAAGTCTGGGAAGTCTGCAGAGGAGTGGGAACTCAATCTGTTTCGCTATGATCTTAAAAATACATGGAGTGGCATTTGTGGGATTTATTCACCACTCCATGTTCTGATTGCTTACCTTCTGTGGTTCATTTGTCACTGAGTAACAAATAAGTAAAATCTTAATATTTTACCAATAGCAGTGATGGGAAAAACTAGAACATAAACTCCCCTCTGCAATAAACTACCCTCTAATCAAAGAGCTGAGCTTCTCATCAAAATACAAATCAAAAGAACAGAGCTGCTCTCAAACCACTGCAGCTCTGTGAAAGTCGTGTTTGTTGTGTAGAAACTTACAGCGCTGTGACGAGACCCAACACGACGGGTAAAAAACCTGGAGAAGGTTGTTTAAAAAATGGCGCAGAAAGTTGAAAAGAACAAAGCTGTTGTACATCAGAAGTCACCGTGGATGACTTAGCAGGAGGGTCCACCCTAATACAGAACAACACACACACACAGGCATGCACATAGTCCTTCAAAGCCAGATTGTGGTATTTAGTGTAAATAACATGTGCTGTGTTTGATGCAGACAGAATTAATGACAACACTCAGTCCAAATAACAGAGGGCTCATTTCCGTCTGGCCTGTGCTCCTTATGGAGACGAAGGCAACTCATAATGCATGGACGACACATTTGTGTGTATGTGTGTGTGTGTGTGTGTGTGTGGGGGGGGGGGGCAGTGTGTCTTCACCCAGAAGGATAAAATTAGTGCGACTCCCTCTTTAGTTTTTCCTTGGTATTATTACATACACATCTGTGACATGTTTCAATCCAAACATAGTTTCAGAATTGGCGTCAAACTAATCACTGCAATTCAGTGATTAGTTGTTAAAATATTTTCAGTTTCTGTACTTGGTTTAAATATAGAAAATATAGAGAAAACAAATGAATCATTCAAATAACATAAGGTAACATTAAATAATTAGTTTGATATATGAAAACATTCACTGTAAAAAATGTTTTTTTATGATTAATATTTTGTACAGCAGTGATAATAAATTAAAATGTCTGTTTAATTAATGAATTGAAACATAAAATATAAGAATTTTAAGATAAATATTTATATCAAATGTATGTAATGTTATTACTTGGCCTACGCAACATTAGTGGTTTATATATTGGGCTTCAGTATCAAGGACTCGAGGTTCTTTATTGTCATTGCAACACAAATTAGTATGTATTTGCCATATAATATTACAATTGTTTTGATAAAATTTTAAAATATGTAAAATACTACATGACTTGTAGTTTAAAAACAAAACTATGTAGTTGTGGCTTCATCTATGTGGGTGTGTTTACACCCACATAGATGATACGGTATGTTGACATTTCATGAGCCAGTTCAGTATCTTATATCTGAACTTTTTACTACTGTGTGTGTCTGTGTTATTTTTATTATTATTGTGTGTGCATCAGTCCGTCACGCCTTTGGCTCCGGAGCTTGTTTAGCTGCCGTAACTCCTTTGCCTTTTGTGGCGGGGACACGAGTCTGTGTTGAAAAATAGCCAGAGGGCAGCTGACTGTCTCGCTGCACGGAAAGTGAAAATTATCCTCCTTCAAAGAATTGCGTTGATGCTCGACAGGTAGACTTCTTTCTTCCCGCTCTGTGACTCAGCCATTTCTCACAAAACCCTAATGCAAGAGCGTTCACTTCACCTCCGCCCACCTTTGTGTTGTGGTGCTGTGGAAGTGGCCTGTTTTGAAGAATGTAAGGTTTATTGCCTTTCAGGTATCTTGTAATGGTTGAGTAAGACAAGGGGGAGGAGGTGACTACACAGACTATTACAAAACATGGGAATGCTGGAAACAGTTGTGTGTGTAATCATGCCAGGGGCAACAGGTGATCTTTTCTCAGGAAGAGGTGCTTGCTACCATTACAGTACTACTTTTTCGAGTAGAAACATGAATCAAATTACAGTAGTCAGAAGTGCGAAGGAGCTAAAAGAACAAATAAACATTGTACAGTCTAATTTGAAAATAGCTGAAGGAATCCATGTCAAAGTTCTTATGTACTAATTTCAATGTTATATTGTAACTATCATTGTAAAACAACACATGAAAAATACTAGCTAAACTGCTGTTTTGTCAATGGCCACTAAGACCATAGTGACCATAGACCATACACAGTGGAAGGATGGCGCTAGCTCATTCCATACTAATGTGACCAACCTCTTTCAAAATGTCTTGTGTTTATAATCATTTACTGTATATATATCACTGGAGCGTGTGTGCAGATGTGCATATCCAGGCACAGCCATTTCCTATGTCAGTCTCTTTTTTAGTTTTTACATCCATGTTATAACACAAACCATTTTTAAAACCACATTCTAGAGATGTTTTGATGTTGAAAGAGTTTACAATTGGATGTAGCAACTCAATGTTCATGTGATAAATAATTTAGTGTTTTTTTTTCAGCACCCCTTTAATGGTTTTTCTTCATAGGTGTGTATTTCATGGTTCCAGTAAAATGAAGAGGTTGAAGTTTTAATTTCCGAATGGACGATCTCAGAGTTCAATGGCGATGCTTTCTCTGACCTTTCTCACGTCTCGGAAACTCACTTTGATTGACGGTGCTGCACCCCTTCAGCCGTCTATATCTATTGTTTTACCATCAATTAGGCGGATTGAGTCCCCTTCGTCAATTAGAAGATGTCTTGAGTTGCACCGCTCTTTTCACTCAGCGAGAGCGAGCCGTCTTGTTTCACCTGTATCTTAATGACACCTCACACTCATTGTGTTGCCATGTGCTGCTGTGCCAGCTAAGGTGTCACCCCAGCTGAAAAGAAAGTGTCTCCATCCAAGCAGTATCATGCTTCTCTCCCCTGGGGAACAAAAGCTCCTTCTCTGTATGGTGACAATCTCAATTATTGATGGCTGGCTATTTAAAAATGCAAAGAAGTAGCTGTCACTTAGCGCACTCTCTCTGTTCTGGCTGCCGCCGCCGATCCTGCACGAAACATCGTGCTTCCTGCCAGTGACTCAGTCTTTCTGTAACCTGAGCAAGAGTCTCACACCTTCAGTGCCACCTTCCACTTGCTCACCCACGCCTGGTACTGCGGTGTGTAGTTACCACTGCGTCACCTGATCCCCATACTGGCTGGTTTCCTTTTCAGGGCTCCATGATTAGACCCTATTGAGTGTCAGACTCTCCGCTTGACACCTCAGGTTGGATGTCTCGGCCACATTTGCCTTGGATGCCACAGTTTTCTTCCAATTTGCAATCCAATGAACTCATTTGGTGCTGTTTGCTGCCATTCAGAACCTTGTTAGTGCTGCCTATTGTACAAAAGTCCCTCGTCATTTGATAAACTGAAATTTTAATTAACTCTAAGAAAAATAACTGCTAAATATACACACCAATTCACAGCCTTGACCTTGAATGTGAATAGACCCAGAGGTTGCTGGACATTACGTTATTTAAGTCCTTTATTTATCATAGAGTTAAAATGTATCCTAAATTCCACATTACAAACAAAACACCCTCAAACAGGCTCGGTTTGAGGATTTAAATAAATCACATAAACAGTACATAACAGTACATAACTTCTGTATGTATATATGTGCATTTATATATGTGCATACGTGCAATGATTGTGTAAGCTCCAACAAAACAATGTGCAAACATGGAATTCTGAAGACCTAAACCGGATACATTATTATTGATAATCTTGTATTTCATGTCATACTTGGCAGAGATGCTGCTATTTTCATCAGATTTGTGCCTTTAAACATGCCCAAAATATCATTACAAGTGCTGTGCAACATGGACAGAATTTGTCAAATTAACCACAGTGCACATATTGTTTCCTGACTGTGTAAACAGTAATTGAACTTCACATAAAGCTACGGAGAGACAGCAATTGAGAGAAAATCTGCTCTTAAGTGAGGTACACATAATTCTAACTTCTAATTCTAACTAATTCTAACATACTGATTTTAAATACTGCTCGTTAGCTAAATAAATGTTCTTTTCCAAAAGGTCTGTTGATGTTTTTGGCCTACAGACATCATTGTTTACATTGCCTGTACTTAATTAATATAATTTACAAAAATGTATTTTTAGTAATCAACTACCTGCAGCTTATACAAGTTTATGAAGAAAGGAAGAATCAATGCATCACAAACTCACCAATACCCTGAGAATCTCACCTCTTGTTGAGCTTGTTTATACACAATGTCTAGACTCTCCATCTTTAAACCCTGGAGTAACAGTCTGCACACCACCAGCTCTGCAAATAGTTTACTAGATGTTTGTGTGCTGTGTGCCGGTAATTTCCCACCGTGCTTCCTGTACCTCTCACTCATGGAATGTTGTGGCTTTTCAGTTGATCAGTAAATACTAGTCATGAGGATGTTTCCTGCATCTGTCACATTCGTTAGGCTGTTTCGTTGTGACTTGATTGGTTTAAGGACAATTAGAACTTTTTTTTTCACCGATTGATAAGATCTGAGATGACCTCCAGTGATAAGTGGCTCATGAGGACATCACATTTTTAACATACTGGAACTCTGATGGGAAGGGTGACGTACGCTATAAAGTTAAAACTAACCCGAGGAAATCATTCACTGCTGCTGGGAGAATTCTCAAACATCACCATCTTCATGACCCTTGTCATCATGTCTCACTGGAGCAATCAGAAGGAAGCGGGAATTTCTTTTTTAAAGGGAACAATAGAGGATGTCACGCATTATGATTTACTCATTGAGTCAAAGGAGTTTTAGGTTTGGGTAGGGGTTGACTGTCGTGCCAGATTCGTACAAAAGCATAACTTAATCATTTCCAGGCTTATTCCGATCTGTAAAACATGTCAGCACAGCTTGTAACATCTGTTAAAGTGTTGCTGAACACCAGATACCGATTGCATGTCAATGCATTTTCCACTGTTATCAATTAAATGCACCATGGTTTTCTTTTTTATTACAATCTTGACCTCTTAAACTGTGGCTCTCCCCCATTTCTTCCTGTTGTACGGTCTTATTTTCAAATGTTTCCTTTGCTTTGTCCATCCTCTGCTAAGATTGATTTCAGGCCTGACTGAGATTGTTCAGGGTGAGGGCAAAAATGGCAGTTAATGACCTTTACCCACAAAGAGTGTGAAAAACAGCTGGCACTATTAGCACTGCTGGCAGCTACAGCAAAGGTGACGTTTTAGAGGTTTTTGATAAACCAATAAGTGAAGAAGAAAGTGGACAGAGCTTTTACACCACTTCCTCCTTTGCAAATGAATCTTTTACCATTAAACATGTCACCTAAACTGTGTAACACTAGTATTAATTACTACAGTATTGGATCCAGTAGTAGATGAAGTGCAGCAAATACACCTATTTCCAATTACTTTTAATTTGCAATTCACTGCACACTCAACATTGATTTGTTCACATTGAGAAGGGAATCGAGTGTGTGTTAATTTTGCACGATTGTAAAACGGACACATACATATTGTCACCTTAACCCAAATTAATGCAGGAATCGAGTCATGGAGTATTTGAATGACTCAATTAGTCAGAATTGTTCTTACAATAAAATGCCAGTACAACATTTTGAATGAATATTCCAACTCCCTTTTTTCTTCTTCTTTTTTTGTTTGTTTTGTTGTTAAATACAGACAATGAGCGACAGGCCTTTCATCCAGAAACTTTTCCGACCCGTTTCACCTGAAGGCAAAGTCCACACACTTGGAACCCTGCTGAAAGAAATGTACCCAGTGGCTTTACCAAATGACGGTGAGTTTGTGGACACACACACACACACACACATAACACAAAAATTGTCTAAAAATAAAATAATTAAAAGCCAATGCTCTCATTCTGACAATGGCAACACATTACCAGCAGCAGGACAAACAGTACGACAGCCTTATTAAATATGGGCTCTGTCTTCTTCCAGAGGAGAAGAGAAATTTATTGCTTTTCCCTGGCTGGTTGTATTTAGACACAACACAAGACAGAGATCCACTCTCTCTCTGATAACACCATCACTGGGGGCTTTGACGAGAGAAAATAGAGGCTGTTGCCACTGAACAAGTGAACAAAGAGTTGTGAGGATCAGAAAGAGAAGGTTAGGAGATGATAAGCAGATGGGGGCGGAGGAGCGGTTAAAGAAACCACTTAAAAGTGAAACATATTGGCAGTGAACTCAGCACAGTCACTGGGGAGTGACAGGATGAACAAATTTGACTATTTTTTTTGTCTTGAATTGAATGAGTCTTGTCACTAAATTCAGATCAGCATTAATGCAGCTTTTGTTGTTAGTTAATTAGTGCACCAAACCTTTTGTTCTCTCATTCAGCAAATCAAAATTGTTCTCCACACCAGTGCGGTGCCTGAGCACTTTCAAAAAGTTCATAATATCGTCAATAAATGTATATAATTCTGTGATCAAGTCAGGCCACATGATTGTCTATTGAAAAAATGATCCTCCGTGCAAACAGAAATGACACTACTTATAGTGCTGTATAGTGCTATAAGGCTGTGACTGGCCTGTCTGCAGTTGTGATCTTTTTTTTTTTTTCAATGATTTCTTTTGATAACGTCAGGTTCCTTATGAAGAGGAATGTTTGATAACAGCTCCTGCAGACTGTTTCCAATCTTACGTCTTTTGTACTATGACGATAGGCGAACATTTTACATGCAGACGTGCAACCGCAGGTACAGACATCTGTCCCAGTTGTTTTACAAATGTAATTCAGAATAATAGAATGATAAAAGCTCTTGCAATAGGTAAATGTGTTACTACATTTGCGCCCTTAGACTGTGTACCATGGAACTGGATAATGTCATCTGCCGTGCATTGTGTTTGTAGTATCATGAAAGAAAGGCACATAAAAAGAGAGAGTGAGAGTGAGGGTAAGTGCCAGTCTAAACAGACGGTGTCTGCAAGGGAGGAGGGAGGAAGTAGATAAGGAGACAATTGTATGCTAGCACAGAGGACCCACAGGAGACTCACCTGCACTAACCAGAAAGAACCATTAACACCCTCTCCCCCTCCCCCTGCTCCTCCTCCTCTACAAAGAGTGTCACACGCACTTCACAAGCCTTTCAAGCACTATTGCTATTAAAGAAAATCATGTTTAATATAATTTTAGCAGTAAATGACTGCAGTGCCCTTGTTACGTGAGGGCAAAGCAGGAAGCAGGTTGGACCCAAATGCTGCACCACTCTCTCCAGGTGCAGCAGGTGATTTATTTACAGGTGAGCAACAACAACAGCACACAGGAATGTAGCATCGATTGATTGCAGGCAGGTTCTTCAAACAGCCTGAATGAGCAACAACAACTTGTTTCTTTGGAATAAAACACCGAACTCAGGCGGGCTCTTCTCCAAACATCATGGACATGGAATTCTCTTCTTGACTTAAATTACTAGGAACACAACCTGAACAGACCAGTCACAACAGCTAAAGAACAACATTCCCAGAAAGACAGCGTGAGGGAGGTATATATACCCAGGGCACCAGGTGACGCCAGTGAGACTAATGACAGACACAGGTGAGGGTGATCACAGTGACGCCACCCAGCAGACAAGACAGGAAATGGAAACACAGACAGCCCTAACAGCCCTGGTTGTTATGACAGTGAAAGAACGAGCAGAATGATTTATAGATGTATTGCAATAGTTTAACAAATCCAGTTCCAATAATGGTTACACAAGTCTTTTGATTTTTATTGTGGGAGTTGAGCCACAAATCAAAATATTTAATGAAGATTGGCTCAATATTTCCTAAAAGAGATAATAATGATGATAATAATCAGCCCACACTAGATTAGTTACTCAGAGAGCAACAGTATTGATGTCACCAGTCAGTTCGAAGATAAACATGGTTTTTGGACTTGTGTTTAATTAGCAGAAAGTCAGCTGATTAGGCTGGTCAAATACTACACTTATTAATTATTCATATGTTACACTGCTTCTGTACTGTGGCATTGCCTAAAACATAAAACCTGGAGTATCCTTTCAGATCTTTCCTCATGTGGGAGAAACTCTGACTCCCTTTTGCAGAATTTGTCATGGCAGTGTAGATTGTACACTTAAAACCTCCTATTGTGTTCGGCCTCAGGCAGCATGAAATCCAGCCATCGCTTGACGTCTCGGAAGAATAGCAGCCTCCAAAGATCCTTTTTCTTACAAATCGCCTGTATTATGAGCTGATCGATTCCCAGATGTTAGCCATATTTTTGGGCAAATATGACTTTTCTCCTCAGAATATGCGTGACAGTTTAATGGAGAGACAGACATGCTCTTTCTGCCACTTCCTCTTCTCATTGTCTCTATTGTTTCGCTGATCTAAGATATTTTTTCCTCTTTGATCCTCTATCTCTCTCTCAGGTGTAGTCTTCAACGTCTTCCCTGTCTGCCGTAGACGGCTTTCAAGCCTTTGACTTTAAATCTCTGCTTTTTCATGCTGTTCCTCGGCTGCTAGATGAACTGGGTGATAGCTGGGGATTATGATGGTGTGTTTGGATTACAGAGACGGAGACGTGTGTTCAGGGACGGGGCGGGACAGTGGCTTTGTGGGGTTGCTGGTAGTATTGTTCCAGAGTTCAGAGGACAGGAGGATCTTCTATTCCTCCTGTCAGGGTCCTGACGTATAACAAAAAGAAAATCTGGGTGCTGTGCCCCTCTGATGTCTTTTCAAACATCAAATGTGGATTTTTCAAACAGTCTCCCTCTCTGTTATGTCTAAGAGAGGATCTGTGTTGACCCCTGTGGGACCTATAAAGCAGTTGCAGCAGACAAAAGGGGGTGGCAGGAGTTAAGAAGGAAAAAAATGGGATGGGGATTCCCAAATCATTCTCATGCATTGGCCGAAAAACGTCTGGTTTTGCGTGATGACAATGTTTCCTCCATGCTTCGGGAAAACAAACTCAAAACATTTGACCGTAACCATCGGTCAGCTCTGACGTTCGTCTCTGTTTCCAATGTTTGATGTTTGTGGACCAGGTGTGTGATTGAGCAAGCATATTTGGCAGCAGTCAGAGTGACACTGCCTACACATGATAAACCGTTCATGTGTCACGAACACTTCTCTTTAAGAAAGCTTCCTCATTCTGCAAGATTTATCGGAGGTGAGCCACTTAAGAAAAACCCACATCGATTGTTGTCCGTGAATAATCAGGGGAAACCCCCCGCCCATCTTTCCGCCCCCACAACCACGCCCTTATCCCTCCTCTGTGTCTGACAAATCCACACATTACCCAAAGTGTCCAACCCTGCTCCGTTCTCCTCCAACCACCTCCCTCCTTCTCTGCCTCGGTCACATCTGTGGTCCAACCCACTCACCAATGGCAGGTTTTTCCTCAGAGGCAGCGTCAGGAGCATCATCTTGTGCTCATCAAACGAGTCGACTCACTTCAGAGACTCAAAAAAGTGGGGGGCGGGGGGGAGGTGTGTTTTGGTTTCAGTGGCTGTTTTGATACAGAAGATAGAGGGTTATGGTTCATGTGTGGGTGTGTGTGAGATGTGTACCAGGAAGGGGAATTCAGAAATAACTCGAAAGCCAGCCGTATGATGATTTGCTATATTGTTGATTATAATGTGGTCAGCTGAGATCTTCTGTTTTCCAGTTCTATCCGTTCAGCTTTACTGTAACACTAAGGTGTTGGGAGGAAGCAGACGTTTCAGATAAAATGCACCCGAGTGCCTCAGCTGTTAATCTAATAATAATAATATTTTTAGACCTGTCATCTTAGATTTATGCTTGGATAAACATGAATCTACACTGAATTACTCTGGAAGTAATGACTTCATTTAGGCTGCAGTTCTTCTACATTTTCTCAGAAACACTGCACAGGAAAATATTCACATACCTCTCTCTCATCTCCACCCCATCCGCAGCTGGTAGTAATTATTCACTTTGCTTGTGTGCCAACTCTAAAGGATCGACTGAGCCCTATAACAAAACTGGCAGTAGAGCATTATTCATAAAATTTGAATTTCATAGCCTCGGCACACTGATCTGGAGTATTTTGAACTAGGAAATCTTTTTCCAGTTTCACTTTGGTCTTCCCTCA